AAGGGGGGTGGATTCGGCAAGATGTCGGAACATAGGACGCGAGTGTCGGGCTGGGGTAGAGGAAGYTATACCAGTAAAAACTATAGCATGAGAAATTCGAGGTACAGAAGCAGAGGAAGTGGTAGAAAGTCGAACCGCAGCAGAGACAAGTGTTGTAGTAGGAACCGCAGCAGAGGCAACTTCCGTAGCAGGGACCGCAGCGGAGGCAACTTCCGTAGCAGAAATTGCTGGAGTGAAACCCGGAGTTGAAACAGCAGCAGTAGAAACTGCAGCAGTGGAGACCACAGCGGTGGAAGCGGCGGCGGTGGGAACCGCAACAGTATATATATCGTCAAACAGAACTGCCCGGTAAACCGTAGGCAGAGAGGGAGAAGAGGACAACAAACAAGGGGCTGTATATATACATACAACACACTACGCCCACATCCCGCGTTCACTCTCTGGATGTCCTTGCTGCTCTTCCTCTCGCTCTCCTCAATGCAAGCTCCTAGCTAGGGCGCCTAGCGCCGTCAACTACTACTCTCTCTCCGGCAATGTTCACTCAAAGATCTCGGCGCCCAGCAACGCCGCCGCGCTTCTGCAAATGCCAGAATCGATGAAGAGCAGGTTCCTGACGTTGGCCTTTGTGCCTGTGCCTGTTCCTCTGCCTCCTGCGTGATTCCAGACTCTTCCTGCCACTCCTTGCCACGGCAGACAGACTCGATCTGTCATGACCTTTCCCTGGGACTGAGCCGCAATAGAACCGGGACTAGACACATGGAGACTCCCTCCTATTGGCTACTAGGACCCTCTACCATTCCTGCCGGCCTTATCCTATCAGAGCTCTACTTTGTCCTGAAAAGCGACCAGGACTGGACACGTGGCGACTCCCTCCTATTGGCTACTAGGACCCTCTACTGCTCCTACTGGCCTTGGCCTTATCCTATCGGATCTCTACTTTGTCCTGTATAGTACCTACCTGAAAGTTCTACGTTGGCCCTAAGGTAGAACAGAGAATGGGACACTTTAGGGCGGTACTAGGCAGCACATTAATCCTTCCAGAGACTGAATCCAAACAGAATCAGTAATCCGCTTGATGAACAGAATGCTAGCCATCCAAGACACCTGCCGCTCAACAGAGGGGGCGGAACTGCCAGAACAAAACGATAGGGCTCGAGCGTCAACCTCTGATTAGAGTCTTGAGTTTGAACGTAACCTAGCTCGGATGCAGGACATGCACGGGTCAATCAGCAAAATATTTACAATTTGTTCCGTACGAGGTATCACCCCATGTTATATGATGGTGGGACTTGAACTCGTTACCTGTGAATGGACAGTTCCTGGTGTGACAGGTAGGCATATATTATTACACACATCGTTATGTTTAAGGCCATATCATTCTTCTTTGGGAGGTGCAGAGACTGACCAACCATGGCAACAGCAGACCGTGCCAGTGGGGCCAGATTTTAGACCATCTGGTTGAGTGTCTGCAAGTGTGCATCTTAGCCATTGAAAAACACAATTTACACAGTTGAAAGGATTCACGCGCTGCCGCAGTACAGCCCGATACCCGTGTCCCATTTTCTTTTGTACCTTAGGTCCAAAGTAAAACTTCCAGGGAGGTGCTGTACTGGACAAAATAGAGATCTGATAGGATAAGACTAGGAGGAATGCATCTTAGCCATTAAAAAACACATTTTACACAGTTGAAAGGATTCACGCACTGCCGCAGTACAGTCCAATACCCGTGTCCCATTTTCTTTTGTACCTTAGGGCCAAAGTAAAACTTCCAGGGAGTGCTGTACTGGACAAAATAGAGATCTGATAGGATTAGACTAGGAGAAACAGTACAGAGTCCCAGAAGTCGGTAGGTAGGGTGTTGCCACATGTCCAGTCCCGGTCCCATTTCAGCTCACTCCCAGGGAAAGTCCACGACAACCCGAATCTGTCTGTCGCGGCAGGGCATGGCAGAAAGAGTCAGGAATCACATGGGAGGCAGAGGCACAGGCACAAAAGGAGGGTCAACGCCATGAACCTCCACTTCGACGATTCTGGCACATGCCGAAGCACTGCTGCATTGCAGGCGCCAAGATCTTGAAGTGTGAACAGTACCGGGCGAGAGAGAGAAGTCGTCGACAGCGCTGGGTGCCATAGCTACGCGATTGCACTAAGGAGAGAGGAAGAGCAGCGAGGACAATAAGAGAGTGATAGCAGGACCCTGGCACAGCAGTCAGTGTTAGAAGGGGGGAGAGAGAGAGAGATAGGAGAGAGAGAGAGGGAGAGAGAGAGAGAGAGAGAGAGAGAGAGAGAGAGAGAGAGAGAGAGAGAGAGAGAGAGAAGCTTACCCGTTGTCGTTGTTGCTGTAGCGGCCATAGCCCAATCTTGGGAAACCTGTGTATATCATTTCAAGTTGTGTTTAAGTTCTGTGTGTGCTCATTTCGTGCAGGCCTTGCTGTCACAACTTGGAAATTGGTCCGGATTGGCCAGATAATTTCACTATCATGAACTGATCGAATGGGGCTAATAATCTCAGGATTGGTGCGGAAGTAATGATGGAATGCCAAGCTAGGCTACCAGGCAGGCCGCAGAGGTCACGTTGTTTTCGCGGGTGGCCCGCCCGTGCAAGGACCAGGGAAGATCACAGCCAAAAAAAAGAAAAAAGAAAAAAACCGAAAAAAAAGTTAAAAAAACAATGTTATGCAGAAAAATAAACTGAACAAATTTTGCCTCAGGGTCACATCGAAATTCTTTATCAGATTCAAAAATATATATATATCGTATAAATAAACTAAAACTTTTTTTTTTTTTTTTTTTGCCCGATCGGGCAAGTGGTCCCACGCCATTCCGGTAGCCTAGATGCCAAGGGTATTACTGCTAGCCACAAAGAACTCAAAATCACCACACTTGACAGCCATTTACTATTTTAAGTTTTTAACCATTGAGCTACTAGAGACCTACGGCCCCGTGGATAGGTTTTGTATATGAAATTATGAATCCATATGAATGACACAAAGTGGCAACAGCATCAAATCACCCCCATGAGCATACATTGGAACCGCTGAACCATTTGCTTCTCTGGAATTTTTACAGAGGGCTTGTAGTACCTACCACACTTCTCACCTACTGGCAGAGGGGAAGGCGCCTAATTTGATGGACCTGGACTGCGAAAACCTACCACACTTCTCACCTACTGGCAGAGGGGAAGGCGCCTAATTTGACGGACCTGGACTGCGAAAACGGAATGAAATGGTTCTAGGGGAATCTAGGGTAGGATTGCAACTAGTTACAAGACTCCATTGGCCGGAAGCTGGAAAACGAACATTCAGTCGTGTAGCAGCATTACAAAAGCATGAAAAGAAAAAGAGCTAAAGGCGAAAAATAAGCTGAAAATAAACTTTAGGGGAGGTAGAAAGAAAGACAGACGGACATGGGTGGAGCAGTGGTAAGCCCTTCCTTCAAGGTAGCAGTCAATGCCGCTGCCTCAGGGTCCTTCGGCCATAATGGAGGGAAGCATAGAGTAGGCTACAATACCATTGTAAGGGATGCTGGACCCGGTTTCCAGGTATTGTAATGAAATGGGAGCTCTAATAGGGCAAAAAGAAGGCTGTGCCAGAAAGATGAAAACAACGGAGGAAAGTGCCCTGTTCAACGGAGGAAGTACCCTGTTCAATGGTTATGGGTTGAAAAAGTAAAAGTTGCTGGTAAAACTGTAAAAGAGGAAGAGCTGAAAGAATGGAAAAAGCAGCCTGTTGCAGAAGCAAACAACCTCAGCTTGCTCTGTGCCACAAACATCAATCGAAAGTTGGGCAAGGAAAAAAGAAAGCTTTCTCCACAAAGCAAAGACATTTTTTGCCATCAATTAAACAAATTGCACTCACCGATCGAGGTCGGGGTAAATGCTGCTGCACCTTGGCACTTCGACCCCGCAAAGCTTCCTCCACTGCCCTGCTACCACCAATGAAAGCAGGGTGTGATGTATTTATGTAGTCCATCTGCCAGTTGGTACACAGCCAAAGAATAAGTTAGCATACTCTCAATTCTCTTCAACAATTCCCTAGGCATCCACTCCGATACGTTCCGATTGGGCTCCCCTTCAAGGGACGTCTCCATAGAAGTGGAATTTCCAAACATATAAGGCTAGTGAACAGTTCTGAAAGTGCTTTATAAACTAGAAGCTTCTGTTTGGAAACTGCTTGCACTGCAGCAAACATGGTGAACAAACTTTTCAAGAAGCTATAGCGGACTTTGTGTGTGTGTTTTGAATTTTCACCACAACAGCCCCTATTCCACCCATGAGTAGATCCAAATCGAAGCAGCTTTAGTCCTATTGCGGACAACAAAAAAGTGACAAACCAACCATGAAACACTTACCTTTATAGCAAGCAACACGGAGAAGCGTTTAAAGCCCTTTCTTAACTGTGTTCAATTTGTCTTTTTCGGTTACCCAACTCGTTTGTCCTTGCAGCTCCCCTTTTACTGTGCCTCTCATGTACAAGGCTCGCCACGTTTGATTGTGGTTGAGCACGAGCTGCCCACATCCTCGTGTGCCACAACGCCCCACTTGTGCGTTATGAAAGGAGGCAGAGTAAAGGCGGAGGTAGATTCCTGTTCATTTATCTTCGGATCTTCAGCTTACATTTTGTCTGTTCTCTTAATGATGCTCATCCGTATGCATTTACTAGTAGTACAGAAGAGGCGGGAGGAAGGAAATAAGATGCGGAGCTCTCACAGGGTTCTAAACACTCACCACTGGAGCAGCGTACTCTAGAACGGCACATGAGGCCAGTCAATGTCTGGGCTGCAGAAGATTCTGAATTGAAGAGCCGCCGTTGCCTATGGCAAGTGGCCGCCATACACACTGGACAGGACCGGTTCAGGTGTGGACTGTGGATGCACCGCATCCAATTCTCGCAGTCGCAGTTGCTGCATCGAATGGCAAGGCATGGACAGATGTTACAGGCCACATGGCTCCTGCATGCTAGGAACATGGAGGCACACCGACAGCAATTGCAGAGGCACTGCCGTTCCCACCCCTGTCTACAGATTGACCACGATATGTCAGGGTGTCGTACATGAGTGCAGTATTGACTGTCATCATAAGTATGAAAACAAAAGCTCGCATGGGCTACCCTTCAAGATCCTCACGGCACAAGGCATGTGAACCAAATGCTAGCCGAATATCACGTGGGTCATCACAGGGCGGCATTGAGCAAGTTTCAACAGTGTTTAGAATTGTATTCCTTCTCTATGGGCAGACCACAAGGATTGACCCAAAGCCAGGGTGTTCAGCTGCTGCACGATTTGGTCTGCAACAGCTCGCCCTGGTGGTGATAACCTTTCAGTACAGCGCTCTGTAGGTAGTTCGTATGGTAGTCTATTTTCCTGGCAAGGATGAGGGAGATCCTGCTGCAATTGGAGCCGGTGTGTGTGCAACATTGCATGTGAGACTAAGAGAGGGTGTGGTGGACGATGGCATCGGGGATAGTCCACACAGCAGCGACACATACTTTCTACGACAGTTTCCTGGCAATATTGACGGCACACGGTATGTCGCTGACATATCAGCAGGAAAGCACGCTGACGTTGGCACGTCAACGCCGCAACAGCATACTGGGCAAGTAATTAGGGGGTGGGGGGGACGAGTACAAGACAAAGGGTTGCAGTTGTCGCGGCAGAGACCGGCAGTGACCATCCCTTTGTAGTGTTTGGAGCAGAGACCATGCAATGTGCATGCTAACCGTACTGTAGCTGTGTGCCGACAGAATGGGATGGCACAGCCACTGTCCTCCGGAGAGGCTCCTTCCTTCACTGTCCATGGTAGCCTCTGTCCGATCTACACAGGTAGGGGATGCTACCTGGCCCATGTGTGTGTGTGGAGATATACAGATGGAATGTCGACTTCTGTGGATCCTGACATAATCGGTCTTCTGGTCCCCCATCCGTAAAGTATTGTCCTGATGTCTGGCTTTGTCCAGTTTTTCTGGATCTAACCCAGCGGAGGTCCCTTTTTTTGTCTGGATCAGCACGCCGTCCGGGTCAGCGGTCACCATGGGTTATATGCTCGTTATATTTGGCAACTAACGTTGACAGTCTGTCGCCTGATTTAGAGCTCGGAGGCGACCATACCGGAAGAGGGGTGTAAACTAGTGCCTGACAGATAGGAAGGACAAGTTCGGGCAAAAATTTTCGGTACACGGACAGAAACAAAAAGTATTGTGTAAGTAGGCCCGAGAGTCACGTCGCGGCTTTGGGTCTGCTCCTGTGCATTGACGCTGCACCTCGACTAGGTCGACCCATCTAACATCAGCAATACATTGTGGACTTACCAGCTGGCCACTGTTTCCCACCAAAACAAGGCCTTCCTAGCAGACGTAAAGCAAAATGGTCCAGACTGGCCCAGACGGTAGGCATTCAACCACTACGTCCCGCCTTCCAAGAACCAATGCAAGGGCGAGGCAGGGGAAGACGGGCGTGGTCAGCACCAATACTGCCTTGACAATGCTGGCAACACTGTCCAACTGGCCCGCTGAGTAGTAGCATGGGGACAGCACAGGCCTGTTCAAGGTGTTCCTACTTCCTCCAATAAGGAGTCCTCCATTAGTTGGCTAGGGGCAGTGCTAGCATTTGGAGGTACAATAGCGAGAGGAAGGACTGAACTTTTGTGCGCCAGCTGATATCTTCCTTTCCATGGAGGTAACATACTTCACATAGGCTTGGCAATTGGCTTCTTCCAGCCATTAAAGATAGCAGCAGAGTTCACAAGGGGAGCTGAGGGTTCCTACCTCTCTGTAAGGAGTGGGAGATGCTCAGGGAATACTTAAGTGGTAGGGATCTTCAGGTGCCATGTTCAGACAGTACCTCTGGCGTGGCTCAAGGAGAGGCGATTGCCCGTCGTAAACGCCTGGTTGTGGTCCTTCTGAACCATAAGACCATTTCAATTGTGAATATCTTCAGCAAAACTGGAGCAGAGTTGAGCATGGGAAACATGGAATCCTTTCGTTCATCTAATTGTGCAGATTCATCCTTTCACATATCTCGACCTTCTCGTTCCCCTCTTCGATCGTACCAGTTTACGTGGTGAGAGCATTTTGATTCCAGCCTGGTTGATTCCAGACTGGGCCGGTAGCAAAAGCCGCAGGGCAGTTTCAAAAGCCGCAGTTACAGGCTCACACGTCAACATAGGCTCGTGTGAACTGGCGGTTTTATACTGTGTGATTGAGGTTGGTATTGGGTAGATCCAGATTACCAGTGTACCAATGGAACCCAAGACAAACGATTCGGATCCTATACTAGCTTACACATCAACGGAGTGCTATGTTGAAAGCTATATCATAATTCGAGGAGCCTAACCCAGATGCATTGAGCCTCACTGCTCGACACCTTGAGCACACACACACATTGAGAGATCACACGAAATCCACACTGGAGTCAAGAGATACAAAGTCCAGATATGCGCAGCTTAGAAATTCCAACAAATTATCACATTAAACAGTCGGAGATCCAGCCACCAGGCGCTCATCAGCACATCCTCGTCTAAGGTAGGTGACTCTCCTCCTCTCTCCCTGGCTCACTCTCTCTTTCTTTCTCTCTGTCTTCTCTCTCCGTCCCTCCTGGTCTTCTTCATGCATGCTCTCTCTCTCTCTCTCTCTCTCTCTCTCTCTCTCTCTCTCTCTCTCTCTCTCTCCCCCCCTCTCTATCTCCTTGAGAATCCTGACTCTGAATACATCTAGTGCTACTCAGCTCTATCCCTACTACTAACTTACGCGGCCATCCCTCTCAGTGCACCGCTGCCCAGCAGGGCTCTCGAGCGCATGCTACTTGCAGAAAGCGCACAAGCGCCTCTCTCTCCCCTTGAGAATCCTGACTCTGAATACATCTAGTGCTACTCAGCTCTATCCCTACTACTAACTTATGCGGCTCTGGCCGCCTTCCCTCTCAGTGCCCCGCTGCCCAGCAGGGCTCTCGAGCACAGCTACTCGCAGATAGCGCACAAGCGCTTCAGCAGCACTTCCACACTTCTCACGAATGACCCATCTCCCTGAAATGTGGCTGCCCAGTCCTTATATTGACTTGGACTGAGCCTCAACTTGTCCCAGCCTCTACTTCCTTTGGCTTGACTTGGACCCGGTACCACATGCCCACGGCCTGCTTGCTTCAGAATGTCAAGGCCTGGCACTTTTCCCGAATTTTCATTGGTGTGCTGCTGCTCGAGTCTGTGAGTCGCGACTTTTCATCTGTGGAACATGACTTTGACTGTGGGATGTGACTCTTGCCTCTGGGACACGACTTTTGCCTGGAGAAGTGTCCTTTGCCTGTGGAACATGACTTTTCAACATGACATTTCAATAGGAGACGTGACTTTTGCTTACAGAATGCAACTTCTGCCTTTGGGATGTGACTGTTTACCGGGTGCCTGTTAGCCTCGACTCCTAAGGTACCCGACTGTGACTTTTCTGAACCTGACCGACTTGGCCTCCCTTGGCCTGAGACCTTGACCCTGGAATTCGAATTTGGGTTCGTCAGTGGTCAGCAAGAAGCCTGAAGGTGGAAGAAGGCCAGTGTGGCATACTGCACAGCCACACGGGCCTGCAGGGCCCAGCCAGACGGAAAATAAGGGCCCTACAGACCCTGTGTCGTTTCAACCTGAAAGCCTGAAAGCAAGAGCCTACAGGCCCTGTGTCGTTTCAGCTTGAAAGCCTAAAAACAAGGGCCTACAGGCCCTGTGTCGTTTCAGCCTGAAAGCCTGAAAACAAGGGCCTACAGGCCCTGTGTCGTTTCAGCCTAAAAAAGGGCCCTCCAGGCCCTGAGTCTTTTCAGCCTGAAACGGAGGGCCATTTTCAGGCCCTCATAAGATCGACCTGCCCTGAAACTTAGGCACCAGACCAGGGTTTTAGCACATGCCATTTTGGACCTGTTTTCAAGACAACCTTTGTTTGAACTTCAACACCAGGGTCTGGCACGTTTTGGCATTGGTAAGAGAAGCCTCCTGGGC